TTTCAAGCTAAAATTATGGCAGGTTTGAAAAAGCATGATAATTTACACGCACAATGAAAAGCATCCAGTTGTTAGCTATTAAATTAAAAAAAAGAAGGGATACAAACTCTCATGTTTCAAAGCATAAAGAAACCTATGTGCGAATTTCTTCTACAGGCGAATTATTCCAGACTTGTCCACATCAGTTTTTGCCTCTTCCTTTAAAGCAGAGCTGCACAACTAAGGGTCCGGAGGCTCCTGCTCGGGCACTACTTCTCTGGCTGCTGCTACTGCCAGGATCTCTGAACTCTACCTTCCTCTTTCAACTTCCTCTTCCTGCCCTTGAGAGAGAGGCATTGGGGAACCTGCATCCAATACTGATACTCAGACCTGCTCCAATATGACTTTTCTTATGCTAAACTTAGCTTTCATATTTTTTTTGAGCAGCGTAAGTGACTATTTCTGGGGTGTTATTTGCTGATAGTCCAGTTTACACAGGAATATTAGTTCTAAACTTCTTACAGACAGTTCTGCAATATTACCCAAGTTATTAAAGTCTTCCTCCTTCAGAAACACTTTTGATATCAAATTTGAAAGACTTAAACGTTGAGATATATCCTAGAAACCCGAATCCTGTAACTGAGATCTTAGTTCTATGCAAGTTATAAAAACAAAGCATACTAAACAGCATGCAGTTATAAATTATTGTCCAATTTCCATTTTTATTTTGTAATACACAAATACTGCTACATGAAAGAACTATAATGAATTATTATAAAGACCTACAATGATTGAAAAATCTGCAGAACAGTTCTTGCTATTGCTACTACGTTAACAGTCAATATGCTCAGATTAGAATATAACATGTACAGAAAGTCAAAGGTCAGCACAAGCCTAGATGACTCTCTGACCAACTCCCATAGCCAGTGGCATTGATGTAGTTAGCCACTTCTGACTACCCATAGATACAGCTTAGTTGTCAGGGGGCAACTTTCAGCACAAGCCCAGAACAAAGATCAAACTCATAAACACAGAGCTATAAAAAGGCAGCTTAAGCTCTATACCACCAGCCTGCAATATGCAAATTTATTATACCACATAATCAAATCTGAACAAGACGTCAATCTTGACCTGACTATATAGAGTGACCCTCAGGTCTACACAAAGACACAAGAGAATCAATGCAAGTCCATGCAGTTCATCTGGGTGCTCAACCCTGTGCTCAGTAGAAGTACAAACATTTAAAGTTAAGGATATGGTGAGCCCACAGAGCAGACTAGCTACGCAGTCATGACCTTACACCCAAAGCAGAAATATTACTAAACAAAATAATTAAGTGATCCTTTTTCTCCAAACTTAATACAACTGTCTGTTACATAATCTTGTTTTCTAGAAATTCATTGCGGGAACTTAATAGATCAGAACAAACTTAACTATACAGTTGCTGTAGTCTATATTTGCAATGGCACAATGCATGTTTTCAGATTATAAGAAACCCCAGGGCCTGAGAAAGTAAAGGGAAGGAAAAAAAAAAAAAAAAGAGAGTGTGCCCTTTAATTCACTGTGTAGAAAACAATCAAAGGAAAAAAGATGTAAGGAACAATCTAGCTAGATATGCATTAGGCTCAAAGGACTATTTAATAATCTGATACACTCTCTTTTTCACTAGTCAAGCACAAGAGAGAATTCACTCTTTTCCCTAGCTGCCAAGCAGCATTTCCCATGTGTCCAATTTAAATTAATCAGTATGGTAGGGGTACATCTTATCAGATGAATGTCATCTCATAAGCAGTACAGGAGTAAGAACCACATGGTTGAGTAATTCTGGCCCCTTTGAATAGAACACCACTTATTTGATAAGACTGCCCTTGACCATAACATATCATTGCAATTTGTTTTATTTTATAACAATATGGGTTTAATGAAAATAAAAGAGCACCACCAACCTCCTACTTTACTATGAATCATTTACATAATAGTCTACTTTAACCAGTGTTACAATTAAGCTACCTTAAAATCTGAAGATTTTTAGTAAAGCCTGAGAAAATGGCAACCTAGAGTAATTCAAAACACTGGAACACACGATAGTTAATCTTAAACAAAGTAAACAGGCCCAAGGCAGGACATACTTTAACTAATTATCTATAGATAAGCTAATGTGAAAACTTATTACATTTGTCTTTGCCCTTCACAGATTCTTTTTCTCACTAAGGAAAAATAATAAAATGTGAAATACTTCATGGGTATTAGTTCTAGTATTATTTTTTTATTATTAGTCTTGTTCTTTCTGTTTAGTTTACGTAACAGGTGTTAGTTTAATTGGCAGCAGAGATGATACAAAAGTATACACTAGGCATTCCCTATGAACCTCCTTGTTATCTACTTATGGCCAAATACACAGTCTTGCTCACCCAGGCAAGGCTTCATCAAGTGGAAGTTTTGTTTCAGAGAAAACTAAAATATAAATCGTAAGCTGAAGTGAACTTCGTTTTATTGATTCCAGTTTAGCGAATGACAAAGACCTGTTCTCCAAATAAAGCATTGAAAACATGATGATTCCTACTTCCATAGGTTATCTTTTTGTTAATATGTTTGCTAGTAATATGCACTGTGTGTACTAAAATAAACTTAACTGGTATCATTTTCTTAATTTGTAAATATTTATTATTAACTGTCTGTATACACTATTATACTCCTGAACCACCATCATGAAAAATTAGAATTCATGGGGAATCTTAGATTTAATGCCTATATTATCGATTTATCACTGCTAAGTTTCTGCAACTCTGAAACCAAAATATCATTTGGAAAAATTAAAAAAATATTAAGTTTATATTCCATTCCATGAGTTACTATTACTACTGCACGCGCGCGCACACACATACACATACTCTAAGTTTACCACCCAATCCACTCCATTAGACTACTTAATTCCCAGACTTTTCTGAAACAAAGATATTAGGAAAAATCAAACAGTCCAAAACCCCATATAATCAACAGTATAATTAAGACTTAGCCCACTTTCTTTTTTTTCTGAGAGTTAAAGAGGTTCTGGATTTTTTTATGTTAACTCCTCCATTAAAAAGATTTATTTAAGAGATAGGAATTATTCATGCAATGAAGAAGCTACATACTTTTTAATGTATGTTATCTAAAATTAATTTAGGCAACCTGGATAACAAAACAAGTGACACTAACACCTTAAAGGTAAGAAAACCAGTAAAATCAATTCTGCTAATCTTACAAATATGATTCACAGAAGTTTAGGGCTGGAAGGGACCTAATGAGATCATTGGGTCCAGCCCCAATGCTCTGGACAGAAAAGACTTCTGTGGTCAAATAACCCCAGCAAGGTGTGCATCCAGTCTCCTTTTGAAGATCAGATAATGATAAAGGTATGCACAGCCCCACAGAAAAAGTCAGCAGAAGGAAGAAGTTTCAGTAAGAAAAGTGTGAAAGTCCTGTGCTCTCAAAAATCTAAAAGATTTAAAGACACACATACAACCTGCACCTCCCACCATGAGAGAGAAATATTACCAATGGCCAATACTTTGATGTGTATGATTTGGGAATGAGGTGAACAATTTCAGTCATCCATTTAAACTTCTAATTTTAAAAACTATCCCAATTGGCTATATGTTGCCAAAAAAGTTACCAAGTGAGTAGGTATTTAATTATTTGGTTCACCAAGAAAGGTTCATGAAACAGCCTCTACTCTTAAGGCACCTCAGAAAAATCACCTATAACATGCTAGTAGTTATAGGGGCCCAATAAGGCAATAATAAATAACTAGAGCTCTGATTCAAAGAATCACAATTAACTTTAAACTACTTCTATTTTTCAGCAAAGCACATGAGCACAAACTTAACTTTAAGTACCTGATTAGTCTACTGGGATTTTTCACAAGCTGAAGTTAGAAATATACAAAAAGTTCCCTCCTCCGCCCATGGGCAAGGCCTAACTTTCCAATGCTTGCTTGGGTTTCACTGTACACATGATTATGTTGGACCACAACAAAGGATCTCACTGCAAAATCAAGGCCTAGCACTTCCAATTATTAAAAGATTAAATACGTTTTAAAGACCTCTTTGGTTATGATTAGTAAGAAGATTAGTTACCTTTGTTCAGCGTCTGTTTCTCTAGTTCTTTTCACATTTAGTTTCTCAACTGACAGTTGAATGCTACACTGCTTGGACCGCAAACCTGTACAGAGGTGCTGATTTAAACCTTCTCCCCTTCTCTGGGTCAGGGAAACATCTCTTATGATGAGGTGTATCGAACTTGATTTGTAAAATTTCTCCTACTGTCTATGTCCCAGAAACAAACTGAAGGAAGATGTGGCCCATTCTACGATACTTAATAAATAAAAGTTGTTTTAAAAAACACAACCCCCGCCATCCCTCCAACCCCCCCCCCAACAGTATTACACAGAGACAGACACACAATCTTGTTTGAATGGAAAGTATCTATTTTAAAAATGTCCAGCAAATTTCTCAGAGTTTAGGAAGAGGAGGTGAAACTTGTTTGAGTCTCTGGTTCACGAATACAACCGTACTAGGCCCACTGACTATATGAATGGATACAGCCTCATTTTGGCATTAACTTTAAGGGTTCACTAATATAAATACTGGGTAAAGGCACAATTCATTTACTATGGAATAAATCAGCTTCACTCCTTAGGAAAAGTGGAGTGGGAACACCATGCACAGCCTTGCCGAATTTAAGTCACTGCACTCTGACGTAAAAGTCTCCTTCAGAAAACAAGGTGCAACTGGGTACCAGTCATATGCCCAATTACTGCAGGAAGTCAGCCCAGACGAGCTGATCATGTCTTTGCTCCTTATTACAGAGGGAGCTTCCTAGAGAATAAAATCCAGGGTATGTCACTCCATATCAATCACGCTGTGTGTCCACATGCACAAACCAGCAGCACTTTTACTTCCCCCTCCCAGAAATCCCCGACAACTCCTCAAAAACGAAAGCAGCACCACGAACCCCTGTTGGACCCCCAGTTTACATACCTGGGCATAAAAAACACCTGTCTGTAAAAAAGATGCAAATGCTTCCATTTTTTTTTTTTAAACCTGTTTTTTAAAACAAGAGCATCCCCTCCCAAGCGCTGCAGCCCCAGACATGGCAGCGAAACCTCAAATAAAAAAAAAAAAAGTCAGAAAAACAAAGAAACCAAGCAAAACAATCAACATAAAGTGGGTTTGGAAAGGATTTCCACTTCCCTCAGCCACCAAGTTGCTCCAGGGGTTGGTTTGACTGCATGTGCAAGGAAAGGCAGGTGCAGCAGGGCAGGCAGGGTGTAAAGCGCGAGGAAGCGACCTGCCCCAGAGTGGAGCAGGGAACAAAACCGGCCCTTCCAGCTCCCACATGAGGATGCCTCGAGCCCTCTCCCCGCCGCTCATGAACTGCAGGCCTCAGGAGGCCAAACCCGGCACTGGGGGCGGGTGGCACCGACAGGCGTCGCCTTTGCGTCGCCACAGAGGCGCTGAGCGCCCCACACCCCGCACCACCACCCACCACCCGCCGGGGGAGCAGAGCAGAGCACTGGGCCCCGGTCCCGCCCGCGCTCGTGCCTCCCCTCAGCCGGTGGGCGGGGGGTCGGGGTGGGGCTGAAGCGGACCGGCCCGCCCCCATGGCTGTGGCTGAGGCTGGGACCGGGACCGGGAGGGAGCGCGGGCGGCGCCTGCAGCACGTGTGTCTGCGCGGCCCAGCCAGGAGCGGCCCCGCCCCGCGCATGCGCACCGTGCCTTCCTCTGCCGCGCGGTGGGGGTTTGCTGCTCATTGCCCGCCTTCCCGGGCGCGGGAGCCCCCCCTCTCCCCTGGGCAGTGTTGACTTTCTCGGGGGCTCCCTGCTCGTGTTAAGGCCAAGCGAGCTGCACCCATGTGCATGTTGCAGCCGGAGTTGGTTAGTCAAGGATATGAAGCTGAGAGAGAGAGAGGAGGAGACCTGGTCCGGGCAGTGCATCTCCCTTTCCACAGAGGCATTTTTTTTTTTCATGCTATGGATACTATCTGCTTTGGCAGCACAGTATACTAGTATTTCTAGACAGGTTTCCCTCGCTTTATGCTGTACATGTGTTCCTGGAAAACGGCGCATAACTTGAATTTGCACAGAGGGAACAGATAAAAGATACCGGATTCACCCAAAGAACCTTGTCTGCCACAGAGGGAACCCGCCTTGCAGTGTAACGAATAGGGACACGGGCGGCTGAGCTTCTAGTAAATATGCTGGGTGGCCACATATTGACAAGCAGCAACCCGCACCCTTATTTTCATCCCGGCTCAAGCGTTCCTAGGCCGAGCAGAAAATTATACAGGTTTCCCTCGCTTCATACTGTAAACACGTTCCTGAAAAACGGCACATAACTTGAATTCGCCTAGAAGGAACTCACTTTGCAACATAACAAATAGGGATAGGTTGCAAGACCTCGACTGTCCTGACCCCCAGACCCACATCTACCACTTTTACAAGACAATTTCGGTACTCCCCAACAGCGGACAGTTCACACAAGCACAGGATGGTGGTGAACGTTACCATCACGGGGATGGCGACTACAAAAACGTGTTGCAGACAACAGGCGAGGAGCACGGACGGATCCACACCGGAGACTGTATTTTGGTGCACAACACTCCCACAACGCACCACACAAAGCAGCTGACTGCGGGCTTCCACCACACCGCATACGCGTGAATTTACCTCGCATATCACGGATTTTTGTTATAAACAGGGTCATCGCAAAAGAGCAAATTCTCTCATACAGAACCCGCATAAAGTGAGGGAAACCTGTTCCAGGAAACACCACTTTGTTCATACCAGTTGACATAAGAGACCACATGGGAAGATACACCAGCACACCGCTATTGCTTTGAATTCACACTTCGGCTTTACCTAGTACAGGCTTCCCTTGCTTTATGCGGGTTCTGTATGTGCGCATTCGCTCTTATGCGATGACCCTTTTTACACCAAAAATTTGTGATATGCGAGGTAAATTCACTCTTATGCAATCAGCTGCTTTCTGCGGTGCGTTGTGGGAGTGGCGTGCACCAAATATAGAGTCTCCTGTGTGGATCTGTGCTCCTCACTCATTGTCTGCAACACGTGTTTCTGTAGTTGCCATCCCCATGATGGTAATGTTCACTACCACCACCAGGTGCTTGTGGGAACTGTCTGCTGTTGGGGAGTACCGAAATTGTCTTGTAAAAGTGGTAGACGTGGGTCTGGTGGGGGTCAGTACAGTTGAGGTCTTGGAAGATGTCCCTATTTGTTCCACTGTACAGCGGGTTCCCTCTGCGAATTCAAGTTGTGCACTGTTTTCCAGGAACGCATGTACAGCATAAAGCAAGGGAAACCTGTATAATTTTCCACTCAGCCTAGGAACACTTGAGCCGAGATGAAAATAAGGGCACAAGTTGCTGCTTGTCAATATTTGACCGCCCAGCATCATTATTAGAAGCTCAGCTGCACACACCCTTACTGGACTCAATAAGGGTTTTCTCCAAACAGGAGGCTTGAAGCAAATATACAAAAATATTATTCCATCCTTTCAGTGGCAAGAAATGCTGGTGTTGATTTCCCATGTGGACCAACTAAGGGACCTGCATACTGCATTTCCAAATAATAGCAAGGCTACGCAAAATGATACCTCTTAGCCCTGAAAAATGTTATAGAACACCATCTATTGAGAATTTTTTACATAAAATACTAGATCTTATACTAGATCTAGATAAAGTTCTAGATCTTAAAACTCCACAGGCAAATGACTACTGTCTTTTTTCAAAGCGCTCCTGTTTAGCAAGGGTATGAACTGTCAACATGGCACCCAGCATTCAGACAGGTCTTTTACAGTAAAATCACATCTATTTAACTACTTTGGCAGCATTTGCACCCATGGAAGAATGGGCTGTTATGGAGGTTGTTTTATTTCACCTCATTATTTTACTGTGGTCTGAAAAAGGTGTTTATTAGACACAGTGTACAGTTTCTGTAGTTCATTTGTCAGTCATTTGTGGCACATTTCACTAACATCAAGAAATATATTGCCAAGGTTCCAAAGCATAAATCTAAAACTAATTCTCTTGAATAAAATAATAAACCTATTTTTATTAAGGATCCAGATGCTTTTACCTATTGGTTAGTAATGCTTGTTCTCACTGTCTTCTAACTATCATCCATCCAAGTACCACTTGAAAGTTAGCAAGTGCAGATAATCTGATGACTAAAATTCTGCAACTTTATTTGAGAATGAAGTAAAATAAAATGCTTCTAAATACATTTCTAAACAAAGATACTCAACAAAGCAATCTGTGCTATATATGAAAGCAACACTGGCAACTACTATTTAATGTTAAAAAGATGGTTGTTTACAACATTGTTAAATGAAGCCAAATAAAGCCACTTTAAGCCCCCCCCATATCTTTAATAATTTGGATGAAGTTTTTCTGAATTTCCCCATGTAGATGAACTGCGAAGTTACATCTTCACTAGAGAAAATGTTGTTAGTTACCATATGTTAGCTAATGTGAGTTACACAACCTTTTCCTAGCAGAAAAAGGCCTCAAGAGCAGCATCCAGACGAGCACAGACATGCAGTGTGTGGCACCGCAGACCCATCTCTGGTGCCACACACCACACATGCAGGCGATCCCTGCAATGCTGCCTTGGGTCAAAAAACCCACACCTTAAAAAACTGGGGTGGTGCATGTGGCAGAAGTGCATGCCACCCAAAATTGGAACCTAGCCTGCCAGAGCCATGCTCCAGCTGCCAGCCAGGCTCCCAGGAGCACTGCAGCTGCAGCTCCCCAAAAGCCCCCAGAACCCCAGGTAAAACTGCTGGGGCCACCCAGGGTAACCTGCCACACGTCAGAGAGCACATGGCATGGGCACAAGGTGTTCTGCTGCTTGTCCCCAGAGAAACAAATGTCTGGGCTCATGTGGACGCGGCTGAGTCCAATTTAGAGTAATTTACATACTGAGGAGAGGGAGACAGATGTCAATGATGTCATTTTAGACTGTTTTAGATTTATAGGAGTCACAAAGACTCGCACGCATCAAAATTTACCCTGGGATTAGGACTCTGCAACTGAAAAGGGGAATGCAAGATAATACTATGTATATTTTACTCTTGTATAATCATCCACTTCAAAGTAGTGCCAGGAATGCACCCTCTCAAATCAGCAGGAGCAATCATAGTATAATGTAAAAGCAGGTAATTTAAATTATGCCCATAAGGGTAGACAGCTCTTAAAAACTGAACAAAGTTTGATAGGCAATATTTTTTTCCTAGAATTCATCATTCATATCAGGTTGTTGTCCAAAACCTACATATTACCATTTCCCTTCATATTTTCTAAGCTAGTCCATTGAAATACATCAGATAGAATGTCAACCACAAATTAGATTTTCACTCCTAATGCTCACTGGCCATAAATATGCAGTTGTTACAATTCATGATCCCAGAGCTAGGATTACCCCTTGTGATGAGGAATCATGTTCTGAGGAAATGAAACAAGGTCTTAAGAGTGAATATTTTAGTTTTGCTTTCTCCAATTACACTTATGTGCTTGCAGTGCCTTTAGAGGAAATAAAAATCCTAATCCTGATAAAAGTTAAGCAAACTGAAGTATACACATAATGTACACACCATGTACTAAAGAAAGTTTTCTGAGGTCATCTTTTTAAATGTCACTTACAATCTTCATAAAACATTAATATATTGCCTGAAATATGAACAGAAATGTACTCCTGTTTTATGCATTTGTAGGGAGAGGAAAATCCAGCCCACTGAAAACAGATTCTGCCATAGGACTATCTTCATACTTCTTTAATTTTTCCTTACTCAACAAGGAAACTTACTCTGTCAGTCACTTTTGGCTGACTTTATAAAGCAGCACGTGAGAGTTTTACTTGCATATTCTGCTAAACAGTGTTCAGTACAGACCTTGGAAAATACACATTTACAAATACAAAGTGCAAGTATTTTGTATTTTACAGAAAGACCTTCTACTATTGCAATGTCTAATATAATACATACA